CCGCCGTTTCACAGCCTGAGCGGTTCTCCCCGCAGGGCAAACGGTGCCAAGCGTGCAGAACCAGCAGAGGGCGACCGGGCAAGCGGGAGCCCCCGCGCCCCTGGGACGCTCTCCAGGAAGGGTACGCTGAGGGGGCTTGACCTCAAATTTTTCTGAAAAAAAAATTTTTTAGAACTAGATTTTTCGCAGGAGGGCTGCTGACCAGGCAGGGGGCCGTAACTGCATGTTCGGAAGTGCACTGGATCACCCACAGCGCCAAGTTTCGGGTGAAATGCTCAGCCCTTGAGACCCATAGGGCCTTCGTGGCAAGAAGCGGCAGCAGCTGCTTTGCTGGGCAAAGAGAAAAATCTTCCAAAAAACCCAGTCCTTTCAGGAACCACCATTTTTAGCCATCTTCCTAAGACAGGCTTCTTTATCAAGGAAGAAAGACAAAGAGGAACATCTAACAGGCTTTTACTTTTTGATAAAAATCATCTCAGTCCCGTATCTGTACCAGGAGTTAATCAAGTGACCTGTTAAAATCATGTCCCTGCTTTCCATTCTTAAACCAGTTGTTTCTCTTGAAGCCACCGTCACCTTGCTTCCCATTTCCGAACCTGGAGAACCCTCGTCCTGCCTCCTGGGGGTACTCTTCCAGCTCTGGCAATTCTTTTGCCACTGACAGCTGCCAACGCCTGGTGTCCCTCCACTGTTCCTGAAACAAGACCAAAATAACGAGACTTTATGTGCCTGTGGGCGAGTCCAAGGTACCCTGTTATCAGTAAAAGCAACACTGAAGGCACAGGCATTTCCAGACAAATCCCACCCTCACCAAAAGAGGTTGGCAGATCCCTCCTGGGAGACAACTCAAAGTCCCGTGAGAAAGGATAAGCCATCACAAAGGGGCAAGAGGAAGTGAAGTCGGCAGAAATCTGGTTAACTCTCAAATACACTGGAAAAGTCAAACCCCACAGTAGCCAAAGAAGGATTGTGTTTAATAAAATCAGGTTACATACTGAGAACTGAAATGAGAGGCAGGACAGGGTATTTTGTAATGACTGTGCTGTGCTCTTTCTACTGACTGTGCTGTCTACGCAGCATCCTTATTAAAATACAAACCTTATCCTCCCAAACCAGCCTGTAACTCAATCCTATACATGGCAATCACCAAATTCCAAACCACCAGGTTCCAAAGCCAATCCTGGCTAAAATACATACCTGTACATTACTCAGTTCGTCAACAGGGATATCAAAGCACACCCCCTGGAGAGAAAAAAAAACAGTATTTGCTTTCCGAAGATATATTCAAGAACAGAGACTCACAACTCCAGACAGGCAGCACCTGCAACTGCTCATATACGATAACCGTAGAAACCAGAAACGGTAGAAAGCATGGTCTTTTGGGGGAAGCTTTTTATAAGCTGAAGAAAAGGAACAGTGAAAACACAAAAGCTCAAAACAAAATGCAGATTCAAATGCTCTGTGCTGACAGCAGCATTGCCTGCAAGCAGCCTATCTCTTTGAAAGTAAGACAGGCGTCACCTGGCACCACAAGCTCTCCGAGAACACGCTTGCACAGGAGACAAATGTCCAGAGCCAGGCTGACAGTCAGGTGAATACTGTACCGATCAGGGCAGGCAGTCACTGCCCTGCTCTACAGCTGCCTCTTCAATGCAGTGGGGTATATAGTGTTAGCCCAAGTTTACAGTGAAAGAATAAAGGTCACAACCACCACTCCCACTACTACTACTACTAATAAAAAGTATTTTTAATGCTTTTTTTTTTTATGAGGAGGGAATCCCTGCATTATACTACTACTATTAATAATAAAAAGTATTTTTAATGCTTTTTTTTTTTTTTATGAGGAGGGAATCCCTGCATTATCACTTAGGAGCAATGTCTCCATTCAGATAATTGTCTTTTAAAATACTTCACTAGCTGTAAGGTTTTGGGTTTGATTTTTTTAATAGTGTCTACATAGACAGCAGTTACAGGGGGCCTCGTGATAGGTTACCATTTTCTAGGAAAGGAGATCGAGTAGGGATAGAGTGCGTTACCCAAATTTGTATACTGGTACTTCAGAACTCCTGCCTCAATCACCGCAAAAACTGGCCATACACACACACCCCCCCCGCCTTCTTCCCCAAGGTTGGGCCATCTTACCGTCTTCCCCTTGAGGAAACGCATCGCAGATACTTTGGCATCCACTTCCTCACCAAGCTGTTCTTTTAGTCCTCGCCAGGCATAGCTCATGGTACGCATTTCTATCGAACACTTTAACACCATGGTCACAAAGCCCTCCAGGAGCAAAAAGAGAAAAACATTTACAAGACTAAACTTGGTTGGAGAGCCTGTAACTCACTAACTAATGAACTATGCAGTAACTTGTTACTGCCATGTAGTATTTAATCCTAAGAAATCAGCTTCCCAAAAGTGAAGCAACTAAAAGCCTCCTAAGAAGCTGAAGGCATCCATATAACCTAGGATTGCCCATTGATAAAGGCCAATAGCATTTCTGTACGTTAGACAGAAGCAGAGACACATTTATTTAATACGTACAGAAAGTTACCACTAGAAAAGGGGTAACAAACCCCCCAAACTGACAAAAGCGCAGTCCAGTCACATGCTATTTCCAAACCTGTGTTACCACACAATAAACTGGACCAAGTTCTCCCTAAATGCATCAGAAAAAGGAAGGGTTGTACTTTCCTTCTATCAAGATCTCTTTGAAATCAGGCAATCACATGCTAGACTTACAAGAAACGTTACAGAAATGTGAAAGTTTCCTGTGAAGGGGAAACTACAATAGCATGAACCAATCTATCAGCTTGTAAAATGTCACTCAACTCTCTTTAGAGCATCAAAGTTTTCTCTCACTTATATCTCTGGAGAAATCCTTTTAACTCACATTACAAGAAAATTTACTGATTCTGAGTTTCTCTGGTTTCTTGCAGAGTGTCAAGTAAGAGCTTTTTTCAATTAAGAAACGAGCAACAAACCAGACGCTGGGGATAACAGCTATTCAGAATCCCTATTGATAGAGCCTGAGAAGAAGATGCCGCACCTGGATTGGATGCAAGCAATTAATTTATCCATTCTTGTTAACACGGGTATAATGTTATTTACCGCCGTTGAGTTGAGCAAGGAGCGCTGCTGTATGTAAGATGCCCCAGAAATATGGGCTAGAGCTGCAGCCAGGGCAGCAACCGCCCCTTTTTCATCTATGAGCTCTTCAGCAGATTTTCTGAAGTAGTCTACTGCAGAAGGAGGAATGGCCTCCAACAACCTACGAGGAGACAACAAAAAGTTTAAGAGATCAGCAAAGGCCAGCGTGAAGTGCAGACATGGTTAAGACACAGACTTCAGACGGCTTTCAAGATTAACGAATCATCTCTAAAAGCCTTGGTTACCATGCTCGTGCTTCACTACCACTCATTTAACTCAACACCTTCTGGATGCTGAATCCCCACTTTCTCTGTTCATTAAGCCAAGCCTCTTGAAAGATGTGTTCAAAATTGAGGACGTACAACCTGGCGTGTTTGGGGCACTGATAAAAACATCAAGGGAAGGCTCTAAAATATCAGCATACTTAGGGCCATACCCAAGAATCCACAAGAAAGCGATGCCAGCAAACCCAAGAATCCCTTGCTTTTACTTCACAAGGAAGCAAACCACTACAATGCCACTGCTGAGCTGGGGCAAGGCATTTCTTGCTCTCAGTGCAAGCTGATTAAATTGCTTATTTCTGGGAGAGGCAGTGGAAACAAGGTGGGAAGCTGAGAACAGCTACTCCTCTAATGCTAATTTTGGTACATCAGCACCTCCCACCATTTTCAGGATGCAATAAACCCAACACCGTGCCCATGATCTCCTTTACACTGGTCTAATCCTCGCTAATTATAATAAACTCCGTCAATGCATTTTCCACCAATGGGGCAGCAGTTGTAAACAGAGCTGCATGGAATAAAAAACACAACCCTTGAGAACAAACCAATACAAAGAAGCACAGGATGGGGCTACAACACCCTCACTACTGCAGAGTAATTCCTCATCATACCAAGTACTGCTCTTGACACAGCGCTACATCGTACCATCAGCGCGGACAAAGTCAGTTTCCCCTCATGACAGTGAATTCCCTGTTCTGCTATTGATTTCTGATGATATAAACGAAGGTTAATTTTTGCAAGAACTTGGGAGAACATTATGTTGTATGAAAATGTGCATGTTCAAGCACAGAGAGGTTTACTGATACCATGTCATGAAAACAAGTCAGTGTCTACGTGCAAAGCAGCTGACTTTTACAACATAGGCAATGACATGCTCACGTACAGGTCTGTTCCCTCAAAGTTCTGCATTAACAGCATCGCTGTTGATAACATCTCTAGACATCTTTTTAAGAACAGGCAAATAAACTTACTTTTTGGCATCATTACTTGAAGCTTTAATTACATCTGTAGCAGAGGGAACGCCTACACGCTTAAATGTAATTCCCTGAAATCAAGAAAACAAATTACAGTTAAAGGTATTTTCAGCACTCTACAACTCAGCCCTACCTACATTATTGAGACCTCCAGTTACTGTTTAGAACATCAACATAGTCTTTACTTAACATAAGTTATTTCTAAAGCTAGAATAAAGCTTTTAAATTGCCGCCTTTGTTTAATCTGGAGCTACTTGACACCAATTTACATGCAGATTGTAATGCAAGGCATGGTCTCCTCCATGTCACAGTCTGCCTGCTGACATCAGGTGTACTGCCAACACGGGAAAACTCATGAGACATTAGAACAGGCTGACACAAAAGCTTCAGAAAAACTACTAGATACCAACATTTTAGGCCTACTAGTCTATGGGACATGAGTCCTGTACCAGACTCACAAGCAGCCCTTGGTTACAAAGTCTAAGAGTGGCAGAGTCCTTTTAGGAGCTGAATCATTTCATGAAATAGAGGTCTGAGGTACAACTCACCGCTTTGTGCTCAACTTGTTTCAGAAGGTCTTCTTCTCTTCTTTGAAATAAACAAATGCAGATCCCAGTCCGGCCAGCTCGACCCGTACGTCCAGAACGATGGATGTAGGAATCAACATCCTTCAGAAATTCAGATTAACATGAGAAAACCTTGTGTCATTTAAACTGTTGATATTTATACATGGTGAGAGAGAAAATGCAAGCTAAATTCTAATTCAGAAGCATAAGGAGTGATGTATTATTTCTCTATACCTGAACTTGTAACCACACACAAACCACTCTGGTTTGCATATGTTACCCTGCCCAAGGTATGCTGCTTCAGGTTTAACAAACACTAGTGACCTATGTTTTTTTAAAATAAAAAGATCCACTGGAGTTTCAAAAGAAGAAAAAGGCAGCAGGAATATTTCAGAATTGTTATGAAACTCAACAGCCTTCAGAAGGGATTCAGAAATGCTGAAACAATGTCACAAGCTATCTCAGACCTTTTCAGAGTAACCAAAACCCATCACTTTTACTTTACTCAAAGCTCAAAATATAAAAGCTTAACTAGAAAATTCTAGGCCTACATTTTAAAAAAATGCATTTCATTTGTGAATCAGAATGCACTTCTGGTGAAACAAAGGAATAACCCACTGTTCTGCCACAAAAAAAAAAAAATAAACGACAATTTTAGTTTCCCCCTAATCACTTACTTTTGGTGGTGAACACTGTATAACAAGGTCAACCTCAGGAATATCCAAACCACGGGCAGCTACATTTGTCGCAATCAGAACTTCAAACACACCATTTCTAAAGCCTTTTAATGTAATTTCTCTCTGTTTCTGTGGAATGTCACCATGCAACGACTGGGCATCCTGCAGTGAAACAAACCAGTAAGACATCATTAAACAGGGGAATCTAGCCTGCAGTATCTAAAGCCATTTAATTACGAAACCCAAAACATTGTGCAGAGCAACAGAAAATAATTACACAGCTGATACCAAAAGAATAGAAAGCAACCTACTTTGCGGTTTGATCCTTCTCTGAGACAATAATATTCATAAGCAGTAGTTTTACATTTAATTTTAACATTATTTTTTGTAGCATACCAACAGCAGACTGTACAATTTGCAGACCGTACAATTTGCAGCCTGCCATGCCAAGAAGGGCCCACCTCAGCTTTCACTTCCACTGGAACAAATGGAAGCAACTTTACTCAAGCAATGCTTGTCAAGAGAGCTAGCAGACATTGCTCCCTTTCCTGGGAAGCCATCCCAAAGCACGCAGGAGCCGAAGTGAGGTTTTCAGGGCATTCCCAAACCCTACAGGTGATCTGAACAACCTCCAAGTTTAATGGGACAAGAGACAGACCAAGTGTTTGACAAGGAGAAAAGAATATAGTCTCAAGCTCTGTATTCAAATGAGTAACATGCTAAAGCAGAACTTGCTAGCATAAGAGAAGGCATCACAGGCTGACACAAGAACAGTGTCACTGGATTTACCGTGAAAGCAGTAGTGCCAACAGACATAAACTGTTGCTGCAAGATTTTAGCGTGAATGGTATATGACATTTATCAAATACCAGGCAAACCATGTATTCCCACCACTGCTCTTTCGCCCTAAGTTAGTATTTAGTATCAAACAGGATTTTCTCTGAAAAAAATCCAGCAGCTTTCCCCACTCTCAAATAAAGGGTGCTAGCTCAAGCAAGCACAGAAACCTGCTCAATATATCACCTGAAGTCTGAACAAACTATTAAATGACCTTGCAAGGACAACAGGACATTCTGCTCCACCATATTAATGGATTTTCCTGAACACTGGCTGTTCAAAAAATAAAAGCCGTTAAAGAGATGGGAATCCAAAGAGCACACTAACATGAGATGGTATGTGCACTGTACTAACTCCCCTTTATTATCATTATTACTATCTCCTGGTTATTCAGCATAAGCTGCGTATTTTCCATTGACCCAGTCCTACATGATTTTAAAGCCTAAGAAATAAATTCGTAATCACAGCCAAAACCGTATTTTAATTGCAAAGCTCTGCTTTTCAAAGCAGCTTTCATAAGTCTTAAAACCACCCACAGAAACAACTTCATCCACACACAGTTGCAACCTCATATTTATTTCGGGGCATTCAACCTCTGAATATCCGTAACTGCTGCTCTCCGTTCAGAACCCCGTACCTGTTTGAGCGAAGCATTCATAGCCAGTTCATTTGCTTCCTTTTTGGTCTCACAAAAGACAATGGTCCGCCCGTGGCTGCCACTGTAGACTTGAATGATATCCCCAAGAACTCCTGCTCTCTGAGATGAGCGACACTGTATGGCCAAGTGCTGTTTGGGAAAGAAACACGGTAAGTATCTATGTTAAATCTAAGCCACTCACAGGACAGATAAAATGAACACAGAAAGATTTTTTTTTTTTTAAAGCTTGCAAACTACTGTCCCATAGAAAAGCTTTCCTTAAAACATCTGCATGTCAATTGTGTGAAAAGTCATTCACACCCCCATTTGCAAAGTCAATGCAGAACCCATCTCATCCAGGCCACATGCTCTCAGGACCTGCACTTTTCTGCTGCAGAATCACTCACTTCCACAGTCATGGCAGTCCTTTGAGTTTTCTTTCCAATCAGGTCAATCTGTTCATATTCATCTTTCATGTATTTTTTTGCTACGTCATATACCCATCGTGGACAAGTAGCAGAAAACAGCAGTGTCTGGGGGTTGTTCTCGGAACCTGGAAGGAAAGGCCACCAATTTCAGTCATCACAACAGACCCTGAAACTTGAGAACTGATAAAAAAAAGCAAGAGTCACTCTGAAATTCAGAGCTTTATATGTGCAGTAAGTCAGCTACAAGAAGAAAACATAGAAGCAATGAAAACATTTTTAATACCCTTTAGACACCAAAGGCAAAATTACAGTCATTTTAACTGGACCAAACTGAATCCTTCATCCTGCCTGAGAAGAAATTTCTAGACCATCTGCTAAAAATGGTTTAGACTGTGCCTGAAGTCCTCCCACATACCCAAAAAAACCTCGTCTCAGTCTCTCCCTTGCCTGGTATTCTAGTACTAACTAGCTGTGAGCAGTATGGCTCCGTGCAAAGAAAAAAGGCAAGCTAAAAAGGACACGCTGCAGACTGGGGGGGGAAAGAATTATGTAACTAGATAGATTACCCCAGGTAAGAACAGTTAACAAACAGTACCTTGAAAAAGTTTAATCTACCTTCATAGCTCCACAGGATCAGACAGAAAGAAATACACATTGCAAAAGAACGCTATTATTCCCTGCAATTTATTTTCCAGTTATGAAGACAACTTTTACACTTGAATAATGATAACAACTCTTCCAAACCCTCTACAGATTTCCTTTTTTAGAAGATTATCTGTACTTTTTGGCTGTCAGGACAAAGACCAACACCACAGAAATGGGGAGAATGTAACAGTCAAGTAAAAATGAGTGGCTGTAGTGGGTCAAACCTAAGATCCATGAAGCTCATATACTCTCTCCAAGTATAGTCAAGTGCAGTTAACAAAGATGTGAAGAAACACCACCAGCAACCAGCTTTTTGTGGCTTCCAGAGCCAGAAGTGATACCCTTGCTTTTAGTAATCCTTGATATTTCTACTTCCAATAATTCAAGTCACTTTTCAAAATTAGTACTATGTGGCAAGGAATTTCACACTATTAAAATAACCTCCTCTCGCTCTGTACCTGCTACCTGGTGGCTTCGCTGAACGCCCATTACATCAGAAAAGAGCAAATATTCCCTAGTGGTTAACTTGGTGTGATGACAAGTATACGGACACATCATAACCCTAACCCTATACTCACGTCATCTCTCTCAGGATGAAGAACATCAGGGCTTAGGGCGTTGGGTTGGGTTTTTTGAGGGTTTGCCTTTTTTTTTTCCTCCCATCCCAGAGATGCCACTACAGCCCTTCAACCACCTGTCACTTTGCTTTGAACCTCTTCCAACTCTACCTTACCCTTTTCTCTGAGGTCCAACACATGCATCACACAAAGGATTCAAGCTGAGGGTGCACCAGCAGTTTTCAAAGTAGCATAATTGTGTTTTCTACATTGTCCTCTATTCTTCCCCTGATGTCAGAATTTACCTTTTTTATAAGCAAATCCTAAGATTTCTTCCACTTGTTCAGCAAAGCCCATGTCTAACATGTGATCAACTTCATCCAAAACAACGTGCTTCACACTGGAAAGTTCCAGCTTGCTGTTCTGAATGTGGTCTTTGATCCGTCCAGGAGTTCCCACTAGAATATCGATGCCACTTTTAAGGAGATCAACTGGAAGACAGAAAAACAAGGACAGTGTCAGAATGCTAAGAGGCAACAAGGTAAAAAAAGCTATCAGTACACAACAATGCTTCTAATTTTAGAACACAGTAACTCCTGCCCTTCACTTTAGTCTCTGAATAAAACACTACACCCAGTCCCAGTAACAAACAAGTAAGCTTAACGGTGGCCAAGTTGCTGTGTCAGGAATACCAGCTAAACCCCAAGCAAAGTTACAGTGAGATATGCCAATTTCCAAGCAGCAATGAGCTGGCATTAGAAACCTCCAGAGCTTTATCACAGAAAAACACTTTCATTTTTCAGCTAAATTATTTTTCACAGCTACTTCTGGAGACACATACACAGTTCTCTCTTTTCCTTGGAGGGTCATCTAGTCCCAGTATATGCCTGCACAAACATTATTTTTCACAGCTACTTCTGGAGACAGAGCTAAGCGCACATACACAGTTCTCTCTTTTCCTTGTAGGGTCATCTAGTCCCAGTATATGCCTGCACAAAAAATGCACAAACACGCAATAAATAAGAAACTAAAAGGACTAGTCACTTTGCAGACATACAACCCACCTTTTACATAAAGATTTACTGGAAGTAAAATAATTCAACCCAGGCTGTATGATTCCTTTGAAAGCAATGTCATGGTTCCTGACTGTAGTGAAACTCTCAGAGGGAAAAACGCCAGTTATATTCATGGAATGCATTTGGAGAAAGTCAACTCCAATCCAGCTATAATTCCTTAGTGTTTACTTACGCTGCGCTTTATACGGAGTTCCTCCATAAAAACAAGCCACTGACAGTTTCCTGGTGAGATTCTTGAAGTCTTTGGCGACTTGAGTGGCCAGTTCCCTGGTTGGAACAAGAACGAGAACCTGGAGGGAGTGAAAAAGAGACAAAAATGCAGCTGTGCTTGGGAGAGGGTGCTAGGAGAAAAGGGTTTACTTCACATCTAACATCTCATACTCCCGTTCTTATTTTACATTGTTGCAGAAGTGCCCACAGCTCCCCACCATCCCAGAAATATTTCCTGCCACCTGGAGCCTGCACATTACAGCCTCATAGCCAGCAAGAGGAAGCAAGGTAAAGCATTACAAGATAACCAAGATGTAGAACGGTGATACTTTTTTTCTTAAGTTAATGCCAGATAAAATAGACACTTCAGTAACATTACTAAGGACTGTGCAGTTCAGCATTAAAGTACAGGAACAGTCACTGAACAATTCGGAGAGGTAAGATCTTAAAAGATAAATAGCATGATGTGCTATAGCCATATATCCTCCTTCTCCACCTACCTGCCTTCCTCCAGTATCTATCCTTCCTCCCTCCATTTTAAGAACAAAATGATAAAACAAAGAGCTGAATTCTTCTCTAGAAATCTTTCAGACAATAAGATTTTTAAAACTCTTGTTACTTTTGAAGCTAACAGAAGGATGAAATAGGCAACAAATCTGCAGACTGTAACAGTTTTTCAGCCTAATGATAAACATATACGCTCCATTTGCGTGGGAATATGGTATCTGATGATATGTATCTGTTTACCAATTCCATCTCATGCTTAAGTAGAAACGTAAACACCACCTGCAGCCAAGTCCAGTCTCCAGACACAAGGGAAAGATAAAAACCCCAAAGCCTTCAGTTGTTATCATCATGGAATTTATAGTGAGAAATAACCTCAAGTGAAGGGGGACAAGTCCAGCTGACTCAACCACTACCTGAGAAGAGGCAGGGGATTCAACCCTGCACGCTAATGACCTGACAGCAGTCTCCCAAATAAGGTCACAAGGAACCCTAAAAGTGAAACATGTTATCGCTGTGATGCTGCAAAACCTCTGTCACATTGTAGCTCCTGATCTGAGGAAAGTGTTCAGTATTACAAACACCAATAAAGGAGAAAGAAGTTCCAAAAAAGTCCCCAAAGCAATTACATAATCGCTTTTGAAAACTGCCATATTCTAAGGTTTTGGTGTAACCCTTAAGTGGCAAATTACTTTTGGTGAACGTGCTCTTCTCCCATCTTGCGAGACACTCTGAAGTTTTTCAGTCAGCGGAATAGCAAAAGAAAAGGTTTTCCCGGTTCCTGTTCGAGCTTGAGCAATTAGGTCTTTGCCGTCATATATGGGCTGAAAAGTCTTCACTTGCACAGGGAACAGGTATTTTACACCTCGAGCTGTAAAATAATCCAAAGAGGTTTCATTAAAAGGTGCTGATTCTACTTCAAGCTGAACAAACAATCAGAAGCCTTCATATTTAACTAGCCCAAATACATAGGGCACATCACATCAAATCCTGTAGACAACAGAAGGTGCAAGTTAGAAGAAATACACACCTATGTTTTCTCTACTACTCTAGATCAAAAATGATTCCCCCTTAAACACACAGCTGAGTATTCACAATGAAATAAAGCCTTCCTTAGGGTGTCTGGTGTAAGACAACCAGAAGGAAAGAAGAAAAGAAAAAACGCACAACATGGGTTTTTTGATACAGCCCAAGATTTTGTGCTAGCTTGGTTTTGAATGCAGGGGAGGAGGTGAGGGTGTTTAAGATAGTCTAAGAGATTTTGCACAGTGGAGGCGAAACAATCCATCCCAGAGAAACTTCCAAGGAAGGAAAATGTAAAGCAACTAGGAGAATTTTGTCTGGGAAATAAGAATCTCACAGTTTCCCAACACAGAGAAGAAGAACTCTCTAGTGGTTACATCCGCAATAAAACTAATCTAGAAGAGAGATTAAAATGCCCAGAGTGTGAGAATAATCAGATACAATCTGTTCACAGGAGCCAAATAATCATCATATAGGAAACACCATTACACTTATTTAAGAAGTGATATGGTAGACAGCAGACAGTGGAATTAAAATACAGATACACAGTAAGTAAAATGATGCTGGTGAGAAGAAAAACACCATCTCTAGAACATATTTGTAGGAATAACCACACCATGGAAGAATAAACTCGCCTTAAAATGATCTAACTTGAAATGGAACAAAACAGAAACTCTGTTCCTACTAACAACAGTAGATTCTTTGACTCTACAGTGACCTCTCCTGTGCGTGTTCTTACTCCATGACACATGTAAGATGATTCAGGACAATTTACCCTTGGCTTCTGTCTCTGCTTGCATGGGCAACAGAGCGCAGTTCTGGAAAAACATTTACAGAAACTTCTTTTGCCACATTAACTAACCTTTGAGAAGGTCGATGGTGTTTTGGGAGAGAGGAAAATTGGAGAAGGCGCCTTCTCTTGCTTCTTCTGTCAGCTCCTAACAGGATAAAAGAAAAACAAACAAACAAAAAACTTATTACCACTAAGAGATGAGCAAATAACACACCCCACATAGGCACACAAAAAAGCTGTGCATTTACTTTATCACAGCAGTTTTACCAGCTGCCTCCTTTCTGTTTACAGAGAAAGAAAACCCTTGTGATGCAGGTACTTCACAAACAAAAATGTCATCACAGCATAAAGTGGAAAACTTAAACCCAGCCACCCTGTATTAGAAGACACACTGGAACAGGCAGTTAGTGTGACAGAATTCCTACAAGTGAATCCTGTTTTTACATCAGTTTTAAGTAAAGACTTCCTGTCAAAGGTCTTCTTGCTCTTTTTACCTGCAACAACTTGTTCAAAACCACTACTACTGCTATCTCATCCCTAGTTCACGTATACCTGCACCACCTTTTAAGACCCATGGCAAATGAAAGGGAACAACCGCCCATTCTGTGTGATCTTACCACATTGTGCACGTATGCTTGGCAAGTCAGGAAAGGGAAACTACTTGTTAAAAATCTTAACTGGAATCCACTGAAATCATCAGAGAATTGTTTTTCACAGCAAAACATATCCGATGTCACAGCTCACTGTGTGAAGCACGAGTTTCCCTCTAAATCACACCTACTCAGTACACCACGCAAAAAGTTTAACTTTGCACACGGTTAGCTACTTACTTAAAAATCACTTTTTAGCTTCTACCTCAAAGATCCAAGAGATCACATCATCACACCCAATGTACAAAAACCACTCTCTTGATCCATATTCCCAGCTTAAATACAAGAAAGAAAACTACCCGCAGAAGGCCCAATAGAGGGGAAGGCAAGCAGCGGGGCCCTCTCACACGTGTGTGTGTGTGTGAGGCCAAGAGCGAAATCTGAACAGGAAGAACTCCAGAAGCAGGGATTAATGAGGATTTCCCTTACAGGACACCTTGCCAAATACTTCTTCGTAGTGCCTGCCAGGAGAGAAAGTGCTGTCAAAGCAGAAAGCAATGCACATTTCTGGGACGGTGACTGCCTGTGCAGCAAGGGGCAAACCCTTGCGCTGCAGGACACAAAACAAGTTGCCACAGAAACTGCTGCTTGCAAGCTAGCGTCCTCCACTGCAGGATAAGCTAGTCCAAATGGCTTGGCATTTACCACGAGGGGGGAAAGCACAAGAAGGAGAGACGGCTGCCACGTGTTGGGGCACGTACTGCTGTGCTTCACTCAACCGCCTGCAGCTTGGGTGTCAACGGGCACGGTGCCGGGCGCTCCCAGATGCCATAAATCCAAGGGGAACAGTGGCAACCGCTGCCTACGACAGCAGCCTAACGCTCCTACAGCCCTCACACCTCAACTCTCCACACAACACCCAGTATGGGTTACTAAGCCCACTCGTCACCAGTGAGACTTTAATTGGGCAAGACAAAGGCTCCGCTGGCAGAGCGTTACTACCTCCGCGTCGCTGTCCTGCTCTCCAGCAGCCTCGTTACCAGATGCGCTCTGGGCTGCCAGGGACGTCACATCGCTGCTTACGGCGGAGGACGGCTTCACCACACGCTTGGAG